TTCCGATCGTTCGTTACCAGCTCTCTCGTCAACGGCTCCAATGTGTTCATTTGAATTTGTTGTTTGCGCCATGTTTTATTTGATAAAGTTGCGTAGCCGAGGTAAATGAACCTTTTGAAGGTTCGACCCATTTAACAAGCACACAATAAACTTTTACGTGCACAATTAGATACATACGTTTATATGTATATACATATATATGCACAAATATATATACATAGTCACAAAAATATGTCATAACAAATTTTGAGAGCGAAGAGAAAGTACAAGGCGATATGTATCTAAATACAAACATACATACGTATATGTATATAAGGCCGCGATTGTCGAGTGGCTAGCATTATGTACCGTCATTCGGAAGGCCGGGGTTCAAATTCTGGTTTGACCAACTTACAAAAGTAGCAGAAAATTAATTTAAATAAAAAAAGTTCCCTTGGCACACGACAGGGAATGTCAACCCCTCCGAGTGTATTTCTGACATGAAATAAGCTCCTCATAGAAAACCATCAGCCATTCGGATGAGGCTTAGTATAATCTGGAAGACCCTCCATTTGTTGGGAAAATATCAAGACTCAAAACCACAAATTGGGGGAGGAGCTCGGCCGAAAATCGCTTCAGTGGTTCCAAAGCGTCAATTATATATATATATTTGTATGTATGGATATACTTGTATATATTCACACTAGCAACGTAACTTTAAAAATATGTGTAAGTACGCTTTAGTAGCTTTGTAAAAATACAAATGTATATATGCATCTAAGTAAATAAGTATGTGTGTATATACATATGCACGTGTTAAAATTTTATGTAGGTAGGGTAAGTATGCTAGTGAACGTACACCACCCAGTAACCGAACAGTACTGAAGTTTTTTCCAAAAACAATAGCAAAAAAATCGTAATCATTTTATATCGAAAATAAATGCATTCGAAGAGGAAATTATTTAATTCGAAATATGTATTTCGTTAAAATAAATAAATTTCTGTTTAATAAAATCGACTGTCGGATTATGTTCAATGTGACGGAAATAATATTTCTTCCATTGCCCGGACAGTCCTGTGTGTCATTATTCTACCCGTTATATTTAATTAAAAAAATTGTATTAAAAACAATAATAAATTAACTGGCAGGAAAAAAGGGCATGGTGGTATATATTTACAGAATTCTGAAGTATCGTCCCCAAAGTCTTTTAAACGAAAAATTCCTGAGTTTCTTTGCAATTTGGGTACACAATCATATTTAACGAAAATATGACGTTTGAACATAATCAATAAAATATTTAAATTACATTGGATGTGCGCAAAAACTAATTTTTGATTCTGAAATACCTCAACCACTTAACAGGTGAGGAGCTAACCTATCTATTAATGCATCTATGACTGTAAAGTGCGTGTCCCCCCACCGGACTTTTTTCGTCTGCTCATTTAAAACGAGCCCGCTAACTAGAGAAATACATACAAATCATTTTACAATTGCGATCTTTACAAAAAAAAAAAAATATTTTAAAAACATTTTCAAAAATTGCCATTCTTAGCCTATATATGTAGAATTAATTGAATTAGTAGTGTGCAATAAAATTGAGCATTAAGCTGAAAAAAGCTAATCGTCCGATAACTAGCACATTTATTCTACTCATTAAGATGTCCGTTTTCTACTAAAAAACTCAATGTTTTTAAGTTTTTGCTTTTGCGCGTGTGAATATGTGTATATGTATTTATACTTGATTTCATCTGCCTTTTTATCAAATTAAATATACTAATTGTTACGTATGTATGTAGATACATAGTTTTCATGTAGTGAAAACTTTGAAGTAAATTTGGTGCCTTGATTTATTTTAAATAAAACAATTCATGAGATGTACGGGGTAAATAGGAGATACCCTAATGTTCCAAGCTATAAGTTTAAAATCACATGTTCGTATGTATTTTTCTGTGCTTGGGCATATAAACTTCGGCACTTTTACTGCTTATTTCAGCAGTATTCGTATGTTTAGCGTATAATTGTTGTATACCGTACAACGTCTCCGCCGTCACTGAGTTATAATTCGCACGATAACTGTGAGCAGAGTCCGTGTCGCAGCGATAACAACAAAAAATTTTGACCTAGTTTTACTATTACAAACAACAGACGCGGTCAATGAACTCACACAAGCAATGAAGGCGGCCCATCGCACAACTTTAGCCATAGGCATGAACTCGTACATTCACTCAAATCTAAGGCGAAAATATATGCATATTGTTGATGGAGTGAAATGGCGAAAAAATTGTATGGGTGACTTGCTTGCAGCGGAAGAGAGTCTTAAATTGTAGTAGCTGCGTAATAACTACAAAATTTTTTTTCAAACTATTGTCTTGTTAGTGGTATTTTTATAACATAAAGCCGAAGTGACGATCACAAAATTTCAATCGATTAGATTGAAACAAGTGGACATATTATCGTTAAAGCAATTATCAAAATATTTTTTTTTTATTTTTTACCGGAAGGAAACGCTGAATTTAATGTTATATCCTTAAAAGGAGGCGTTAAATGTTAAAATAGAAGTGTGTTGTCAATATCACAGCAAACAGCCATTTTAAAGTTAACGTTAACTATGAGTTTTTAGGTTTCAATACTAACAATTTTATTTCGGCGCCGAAACGAAATTATTTCGTTAAGTTTATTTTTTCATGTTAAGAGAACGAAAAGACATATTTCGTTAACTGAGCATCACTGCATAGTGCAATATATGTATGTAAGTACATACATAAATAGATTTTCAATCATTCATGGATTCTAATGTACAAATTTATTCACACAGAAATAATTAACTCTACAATAATAAAAATAAGATGTGTCATCAAGACCTAGAGTAAGTACAATAGTTTAACCCGTAAAATAATAGGTACATACATGTTTGCATGTGTAAAGATAAACATAAGATATAACAAATCAAATGTGCTGCTTACTTTGAACCTCAAACAAAGACTTGAGACTGTTGGTTTAAAGAAATTTTCGCTGAGATGAAAAATATTTTTCTAACGCTCTTAAATAGAGATATAGAGATGTATTCATTAATATGCACTTTTCTTTCAAACCAACTAACTGATAGTTAGTACTTTAAAGTCATATCATGCTCACTGGACAGACTCTACGCTACGTACAAATGTACGTAAATTTTATTTGATGCGTAAGTGACAAGCATAAATAATACAAGACTTTCTTTTCATTTTTACACCCATGTTTTGGCTTAATTATTATCCATACGTATTTTTGGCAAAAGTAAACGCGCAAAGTGAAAGTGTTTTTGTCGGATACATACAATTTATTTTCACCGAGCATATTGATACCCAGCATCAAATAGAAAGACCTTGGAAGGAAACCAATAAAGCTGGAACTGTGTCTTTGACCTCACAATTCATTGTTACGATGACATAGCATATGTCAGCTTCGTTCAAACTCGTTTCCAAATAACAGCCCAGTTAAGGGAGCCGATTAAACTACTGTCTTGTAACCTCATTATTACGTTTACAATGGTAAGCGGTTATTTTCTTTGAAAAAAAAAATCTCCACTCCAAAATTGCTACAGATATCCGGATTTTTAAATACATCAGTTAAAAGCAAATAAACTCCAATTTCGTGTGATCACATTTTCCTCTCTTTTCAAAAAGCAAGGCCATCTAAAATTTGCTGGAGGGATACGCATAAATACTTATACATACATTCATAATGACATAGGATGAGTTCCAAAACGTCTTAATACCAACGATCGCTGAAGGCAAATCGATTTTGTTTGATTCGTATTTTTTTTTTGTGACAAAATGTATACATTACTAGACCCCCTGCAAACACAATAATTCTACTATCCCCCATTTTGTGCTATCGCAATACTACAGGACTATACTATATTTGAATATTTTTCTACACTTTTATTGAATCCATTAAAAAATAAGTAGTATATACATACATAGGTACATATGTATGGTTATATTTACTTTCTTTGTTGTCTTAGCTTTGAATTAATATATGTTTTTATCCATGAAGAAATTAGGATAAGTGCGGCCATTAAACTGTCGGCATAATTTCGCTATTGCGCGGGTGTGACAATAAAGTACGTATATACGTAGGTATTTCCAAATGGGAACAATTTTTTTAATATACATAAGCACATACATATATATATATATATATGAATGATGTAAATTGAAGGAACTTTTGTACAGGCAAATATGTAGTTAATCAATTCTTACGAAGACGATACATACATACATAAGTATGTTTATACATACTCATTCTATATATTTTTATATTTGTACCCTAATATAAAATACGTATCGTATTATGTTACGTATACTCACCATACATATGTACGTGACTGTAATTCGTTATTTTGTTTTATTGTCATTGTTTAAAAAATTCGTTCATGGTTGGTCAACGAACTCCTGGCCGGTGCACAAACACATCTATATATGTATAAGTACTACAAAGCAACCGTTGGCCTGTGCGTAAAACTCATGATTTTAGCATTCATTGCAGTGAGGTCTACCCAAATTAACTCTAAGTGAGAGCGTATCTATACTTATCTTTGCAAACGAGTGTAGTTTCGGATTCAATTATTGTATGTTCTCTCGTTTGTTTCATCGGATATATTTCGTTCGTGCACGAGTGTTTCACTCGTATTCAGAAACACTGAGTCGCTCAAATCACATGGCCAAGCAAACTGAGTGACTTTGAGTAAGACAAATTCTTTTTAATATTGCTATCATTAATGGTATATGTATGGACATATATGAGTGTCAGAATAAAAAACCTCGAAGCTCTGTATTCATGTGCTCAGATAAATCTACCTGTGCACATAAATATGTATGTACATATCTAATAAAAACGTAAGAAACATATTTATTTATTCTACATCTACTTTATATACATACATACATATGTTTGTATATTCGCACGCACCAAGAGAGTTTTGATAATTTTTTACCAATGTTATAAGAAATAAAAATATTAATTTTTGTAAACTTACCGTCTCGACTCATTCCCACAGCAATACACTTTTTTAGTCGACAATATTGACAGCGATTACGATTAATTCTCAAAATGCTGCATTGTTGATTTTTTGTACACGGGCGATATTGAATTTTTTGTTGAATGGATCGTCGGAAAAATCCCTAAAAATATAAGAACATTAAATTATATGATTAGTTAAGTATTTACATATACATATAGCTTACACTACTAGTTGATATACATATGTATAATTCATATATATTGTTACTTTTTGCCTAGTTAAGATTAAAAATAATAATAGCATGACGTACTTCCGAAGTTACTGTTTCTTGGTCAGCCTTCGGAGGTGTGGAACCGGTTTTCGACTCTGTTTCACTTGCAAATTTAATAAAAGTTTCTAAATTATTATCGAATTTTTGACAAAGGTCATTCATTGTTGTTTGCTCTTGCTGTGATTGTTGATGTGATTTACCATGGAAATCGCATAGTTCATCGTCGCAGTCAAGATAGATATCAAAGGGATGATGGTCACTACAAAATGAGGAGCTTGTGGGATTCTCGCTGACACTACCTTGCTGTTGCTGCTTTAGTTGTTGCGGTGTGCAAGTACAAAAATTCATTATGGCGCTTGTAGATGATTGGGTGCTTGAATTGCTTAATAAAGAAGAATTACTATCAGAGCTGTCTCGACGATGTTGTTGTTGTTGCAAAATTGCAGAAATCTCTTTTTCGGTTTGTTCAGATAAATTATTTTCATATGTTGCGGCTGTTTCATTTGAAGCCATTCTGGAAAAGTTATCTCCCTTGTTTTTAAAGTCATTTCCTAGTCTTTCATCAGGGGTGAATATTTGTTTCTGGTCTTCAGCATATTGTGGATCTGGTTGTTTCTCTTTCTGTAGTTGTTCCCTTTGTTTCCATTCCCTCGCATAACGAATCTTTTTCCAGGGACATTGAAACTGCTCATAGCAATCATGTTTTGAACCGAATACGGGTATATCACTTTGTTGAATCGATGTTATACCGCGTGAAATTGTATCGGTTTTAGTTTCCTTAATATTTTTATTGAGAACATCAACCCCTGCATCTTCCGTTTGAAATGTGCCCGAACTAACCCCATCTTGATTCCTTAAACATTCAAATTCTTTTAGATTATCTATAACATTTGTGGTGCTTGTGTTAGTACATGAAATTCCAGTTTCAACAGCATTGTTTATTATAGTGGTATGTTCGACTAGTAAAGGAGGGCTTATCCCAATTGGTTTCAGTCTCTTACATTCAGTTGCAGAAATATTAAGAACTAATTCCTGCTGCTTCTGGTTGTTCTCCCTCGAAGTTCTTATACTTGTCACCGTCGGCTTAATAGCTTTATTTTTTGTGATAGGATCAGATTCTAAAAGTTTTACTAGAGCCGAATGTCGTTGTTTCAATTGTTGACTCCTTGTGGATTGTGCAGAGTTTTGTGGTACATTTGGAATAGGCGTAGATTGCAAGGCAACTTTCGTCAATTGAGACCCTGACGGTTGCATTGGTTGCGATTTTAAATGCCAGAGTTGTGATGTTTCTTGACCATGCTGCAAATGAAATGGTTGTCGTTGGTGCTGTTGTTGGCGCTCATTTGTATTTATCTCTTGTGCAGCGCAAACCATTTTTACACAATTTTATTTTTCAATCAAAGTTAATGTTAGAACTTTGTTTTACTCAATATCACATAGCGAAACATATTTTTCCCGATTTTTTTCTCCAAAGGATTATTTATTTTATTTGTTACACCGAAATTTCCCGCCAACTTCTTGTTGCCGTTGTGTGCACCAACGATAAATGCTTTCTACTTCAACACAAATGGAATATATTTTTGATATTTTATTAGGTAGTAATTACAGTTTCTTTTAAGATTATGTCTTTTTAATTATTCTACTTTTGTACGATGAGTATTGGATTGGTTACGCGTTGGGTTGCTATTACTTGTCTCTCATATGTTCACCAAAATATTTTTGAATAAGGCTAGCCTTTAGAAACATTTGCACATACACTGAACCGTAGCGTTTGACAGGCAAATTGCGAATGATTCGCTCAACTCAACCTCGAATTGTTTATTCGATGTTGTGCTCGTAATTGTACGAATCACTGTTGCAGCTACTAGCTACTTTTGCTGCTCGTTTTTTTTTTTTTTTTTTTGAACAAGCCGAGCAAGAATATGCGAGCAATGAACCCCAAAAGCACTCAAATCAAACTACACGAAGTTGAGTAGTTATTTAAAATTGAGTTCAAATCAATGAGTGTGTTTCCTCTACGTAATACCGAAATCAAGCCATCAAAATGTTTGGTCGGTGTTTAAGTGCTTGTACGGATATCATAAAATATATAAAATAAGAATATCAAAATACATACATATATGTACATACATACTACTGACGTTTCAAAACCAACTAAAATTTTTTTGGATAAATATCAGTTAAACATTAGCATTGGGAAATGTTATCAACGATAAGTAAACGACATAGTATCGAATTTATGAGAATGCATTGCGGCCAGAAAATCTACTGTGTGATGACGGTGTTGCCATTGTTGCTTATATTAGTTCAACGAACTTCATCATTGTCGTGACCTAATTCTCGGTCAGCAACCTCGAAATATAGAGCTCGTTCGTTCGCTCACTGCATGTACATATACATATTTATTTATGTGTACGTATGTATACACTTATTCAAATCGACTCATTTACAAGCGTATATAATATACTAAGCGTAAGCGTATGCTTATCTACATATGCATATATATCTACATACATACATACATACACATGTATATGTATATACACATGTGTACATCGGCATGAGTATTTACGAACATGAACAAGAATCTGACTTTGCATACCCGCCCTATTTGTTTGTTTGCAACAATTGCATTGGTGTTGATGACTTTTGTCTCCGAAAACATTTTTATTCTCAGAGTGTGAGTATAATTGCTCACACCTACTAATTTCATGCTGTTCCCGCAGCTCACGATTAGTTACTAACTTTTTTTTACTACGTACGAAGCTCTCGTATAACGAATATCATGGAAGTTTGCCTTAACTAACGTGAGCATAGAATGCAATCATACTTGCATACATTCAAAAAAATACTTGTTTATGCAGAAGAGCAGTTGTTCTAAAGTGTGCGCCAAAAGTTGTGATGGGAGAGCCAACAGTTATGCATTGAAGGGAGAGCGCGCAGTATAGAGTGGAACTGTTAATAATATGTGTATACACATGCTTCTGTATAGAGAACAAATATGCAACCAGGGTTCATCATAGCTACCGAACGGTCAATGACATAGAAACGAATAGTAAAGTGCACACTGCACAATCTGTATGAATATTTATACCAACATCAGAAAGTACTAGAAAATGCATTTAGCATTTATATGATTGATTTAGAAAGTTTGTTCCTTAATATTAATTAGGTATAAACTAAACAATTTCAATTTGAAAAGTATATAAATGAAAAGATGTACATATATATAAATATTTGGAGTGTGTTTTAAAACTTCCGCTAAAGCTCTTCTCGCCAAAATTACGCATTGTTAGCGATATATAGTATGTATGTATGTATGTATGTACATACAAATGCGTATGTACACATATATCTATATCAATATAATATAACAAGCCTTCAAACAAAATTAAGTTAAAGTCATATTCTGATTCGTCTTCTTGCAATTATTTTAAGTAAACCTTGGTTATGTCTAATCCGTTATTATGTTATCTTTTGATAACATAAACTCAATATTAACATGAAAATTTTCAGCAAATTTAATAAAATTAAGCAAGTTATGTTTACTTAAGCTTTTATGTTTAAAATAGTTTTCCAGATATCCATGCCTTAAATGCTGAAATACAATATGACGTTTTAAAAAATATATTCAGTACAATACTAAAGAAAACAATGTTTTGAAAAAAAAATTGCTAAATTTATTTTACACAAAAGTTTTAGTATCTCCAAAAGCTTAAGATGTTCCTCTAAACGCTATTTTTGGCTCTGAAACGATTTTCAACTCCGGTCACAGGTTCAGGTCACAAACACACCCAGGGCCTTGCCAATCTCTGCCGAACGTCAACCCCAATTAAGGGACTTTCTGTTCCAAACATTTGGATGCATATACATCTGTTCAAGCCTTGAACTCATAGCCTTTAGCCCGGTAGCACACGCTGCTAATCACTCGACTACTAAACTCTTTTACCAGCTAAAATTGAAGCTTTATTGGCAGGAATTAGGTACATACACGGTGTGTCCCGAAAATAACCAAACTTTATATTTAAATCATACAACATACAGCGCCATCTATTGAAAATTTGCAACATTAAAATGATACATTCATCCTCTTTCAAACGCACATAACATCACTAATGAAAAAAGTTTATTGTGATGATTGTATGAGTCGTACGCAAGTTTATACGTGGTTTACACGATTTAAAAACGGTCGTGAGGATTTAAATCGCGACCCTAGAGCAGGACGTCCAGAAACTAGTAATCGTGCTGAACTGGTGGAAAAAGTCCGTGAAATCATTGGTATCGATGCAAATTTTACTACGAGAATGTTGGCTGAGGAATTGAATACGAGTAAAACCACTATTTGGAGAATTTCACTTAAGATTTGGGGAAAAGAAATGTCTGTGCGCGATTTGTTCCATGAAATTTTAATTTTAATGACTATTTTTTATTTCTAAAACTGAAAACCCAGATGAAGGGAGCATTTTATGATGATATCCCAGCCATTCAAGCAGCCGTAACCGAGGTACTGAAGAGCATTTCTATAAATCATTCCAAACGTTGTGTTGAGTCTAATGGAACCTATTCTGAATAAATAATAACTTTCAAAGATAATATAATGTGTATTTTATTTTATATCCAAAAAGTTTGATTATTTTTGGGACACACGTATATGTTATATCTGCGGTTTTAAACTGTCAATTTTTAATATATAGTATATACATTTTACTATATCACGCTATAGATTTACACATCTATTATCTACGCGAGTTCTTTGATATCCTTAGCAAAGAACCTCGAACGTTAATTAAGCAATATAAGCATCACACATAGTTATGTATATACATACATATATGGATTGCGCTTTCCGTTTAAGGCATACTATATGTACACGTATGTAAGCCTATGTA